CAGTTACGGAGGCTTTACCCGGGAGGGATTTCTGGGCCTGACCCCCCCGCAGGGCCTGATGCTGCAAAGATTAAACGCTGTGACTTCCTTCATTCAGTATATCATCCACTCCCCTGCAGAAATCTCTGCCCCTGCCCCCGGCTCTCCTAGGTGGCTTCATGCAGCTGCTACAGTGTAACACGGGGTGACGTCACCTTCCAGGTATATTCTGGGGTAGCACACAGTCCTGATAACTGGCCCAACCAGTAGTCATCATGGGAAGATTCAGATAAGCCTCCCCATCTCCCCCTACTCCAACAAACCCTGATGCCCCTGGGAATGGCTGATTTCCCCCTCCATATGTCAGGAGCCTCAGGGACTCCGCTCGGGCCACCATCTGCAGATCATAAACTCCCAGCATAAAGTGGGGTCTACTGAGCACCTGTTAGGGTCCTACGGCTGTGCTAAGTATTTTCCCACCTACGCTCCCCCTCTAAGCCTTACAGCACCTCTTGAGTGGGCACTACGATTATCTCCACTTTTTTTCAGGCAAGAAAACAGGTTCAGAGAGGTCAAGTGACTGGCCACACGGGTTTTCTCATCCAAACCCTGTGCTCAATTTATTGCACTGTAGTTGGTCCTCCGACCTGTGGAGATCGACATCAAACTAGCTACCAGACACTGTAGGCACTGTCCTACAGTGATTAACAGGAAAGGTTAAAATCCCTTAAAGATGCCTTTACAAAGAGAGAATTTCCCATGCTCTCTTGAATTGAGGGCCTTTTACCAAATGATGGTTTGGCGATCTCCTTGGTACGATTTGAATGCTGCATTACATCCATTTCCAGAAACAGGATGCATAAGACCAGGGTAGATATGCTACCACCACCGCCACCCACCCATTGTGAGCCTGTCCCAGTAGCATGGTGACCCTGAGAAACGGATGACTAGTATACTCTCTCTTGTTTCCAATCTGACCAAAACGGCTTACATGCATCCAAGACTCATAAGCTCTTGGGAGTCTGGGGGTCCTTTACTTCTCACTCTCTGCTGACGGGGCACTGGAAAGAATGGGTCTGGAATAGCTGGAGGCACTTTGCTTCAGCAAAAGAGGAACCTTTCTTACTGCTTTCCCACGTGAGCTGACTCTGTGCACCAAAC